AAATTTCTCCATTGGTGGCTACTCTGAAACTGTGATTATTCCAACTTTTGCAAGCATTTTTTCTCTTTGCCTCAAGGACTTTTTCTTTTTAGTGAAATGATACTGCAATATGGTGCGAGTATGCTTTTTCCACTCAAATGCTTTTCCTGGCCTTTCTTCCATCTCTTTCCGATACCTCACTTTTCTGTTGGCCATAAGCCCTCTCTCTCAACATGTGTAGGTTACTTTTGGCCTGTTCTGTATTTAGGTTCCGCTACTCAACTCAATCAGCCTGTTCCATACCTCCAGCCCTAGGGATCTTGTACTTTGACAGTCAAAAAAGAGTTTTGCTGTTGGACATTTCCTAGCCAACGTGCCAATGTAACAATTTCTGCCCTGTGACCCTTGGATTCAGTCCTACCCCCTAGGGATCACCACCACCTGTCTGCCTCTGTCTGCTCAGATGCCTTGTGTCTTTCCTGCCATACCTTTGATGGATAACTGGTATAGGCCTTCAGTCCGGTCAGAAGGCATCTATTTTGGTGCCCTGCTTTCTTAATTCATAGGGCCCACTCTCCAAAAAGAATCTTTTCTCTTGACCAATCATTCCCAAACTTTTTGTAGTGGACTGGCATGAGACAGTGGCGGAGCTGGCTGCCTCCCTCCTGGGGCTGCCCTGCCTCCCAGCTTTAACCCCGCATGTCACCACCAGAAGCAGAAGCCACTCACCCAGGCAGACAGACAGGGGGCCAAGCCATGACCTGGCAACCAACCCTCTGCGGCCCAGTACCAGGCTGCAGCCCGGTGGTTGGGAACTTCTGCTCTGGACCACTGGTCAACTATAACAATAATGTGATCTCCAAGCACCCAACCAGCAGACTAACAGCTTGCTATCAGCTCAGCTGACCCTCCACTTCCCCCATATTAGTTCCTGAGCATGAACAGGAAGTAGCTGAGTAACAGGGCTTAACCTGATCCCAGAAAGTTTTGCTACTCCCTCTGACTTGTGTTCCACCTCTGCACTCTGCTCAATGTCCTGGCTTTCTTTCTGACACCATTCTCTGCTAGATCTTCCACCTTCTTAATCCATCTTGCTCTCAGACTCCACTCTGTAGCTGGTCTCCCAGCTTCCTGACTCAGTTTATTCCCAGACCCCACTCTTGGACTAACTTCCTGGTTTCCTGACCTAGCTTGTCCCTGGATTCTGTTCACTCTTCCCAACCCTAGTTGGTACCTTGATTCCCAAGAGGCCCTAGACCCAGCATAACAACCCCAGCCTTCCCACCACACTGGATTCTTGAAATGGCTCCAGTGTGGCAGTGAGAGTGAGTGAGTGCATGCGCACGCGGGGGGGGGGAGCTGGGACCAAGTCTTCAGAAGATTCTGTGTTTAGAATATGTTATACTTAGAATGTAGTAAGCATCTGTGCAACTGCTCAGAAAATGTTTTAATTCATAGTCATTCAGCTAAATCTGATCGGTCACAAAGCTTCCTTACCTACATTAATGATCTCTATCTGACTGAAGAAGTCCATGGGCTGAGAAGGGGTGAGGTGCTGCTAGATCTAGAAGTGGCCAAAGGGGATGATCTAGTGATCAACCTGAGGATTGAAGGGAAGCTTGGTGACGGTGATCGTGAGCTGATCACTTTCTCTATCCATTGCAAAGCCGGCAAATCAGTCAGCAATGCTGAAATCCTCGACTTTAGGAAAGGACTTTTAGGAAAGCTGACTTTTACAAATTCAGGAGTTTGATTGTTGAGGCACTGAGAGATCATGATCTGGCAGGGAAGGGAGGCCAAGACGAGTGGTCACTCCTTAAAGAAGCAATCCTAAAAGCACAAGGGAAGTCCATTCCAGCCTATAGGAAAGGTAGTAAAAGGGCTGGGAAATGCCCTTAGCTCAACAGGGAACTCATGGACCTCCTGAATCTTAAGAGAGAAGCCTATAAGGTCTGGAAGGTGCAAAATACCTCTAAGGAGGACTATGCATTACTGGCCCACACCTGTAGGGAGTGGACCAGAAAAGCCAAGGCTGAAACTGAGTTCAAACTGGCTATGGGAATCAAAGACAATAAAAAGTCCTTCTTTAGATACATGTGAATTAGAAAGAGGAATAAGGGCAACATTGGATCCCTGATGAACCAAATGGAGCAGCTGACATCTGACACCCAGGAAAAAGCTCATCTCCTTAACGATTACTTTGTGTCGGTTTTTCACCATCCCAAGGGAAACACCCTGCCTGACAAAACATGGGATTACAAGGGCACAGATGACCATATGCCTACATTTGGTGAAGACCTTGTGAGGGGACACCTTGAGAGGCTGAACACTTGTAAGTCAGGGGTGCATTTTATCAGAGCCCTAAGAGTGCTAAAAGAGTAGACTGACATCATAGTGAGACCAATGGTGAGGATATTTGAGAACTTGTGGCACTTGGAACAGATTCCTGAAGACTGGAAGAGGGCCAACGTGGTGCCTATCTTCCAGAAAGGAAGGAAGGAAGATCCAAGGAATAACAGGCCAGTCAGTTTGACCTCAATCCCTGGAAAGATCATGGAAAGAAATATTAAAGAATCAATCAACCATAGGCTAACAGAAGGTGTCATCCTGAGAGACAGCCAACATGGCTTTGTTACGGGTAGGTCATGCTTGACCAACCTCATCTCCTTCTATGACCAGGTGATACATCACCTGGACAGGGGAGGAGAGACGGATGTCATTTACTTGGATTTCAAAAAAGCCTTTGATTTTTGTCTCCTATGATCTCCTCATGACAAAATTGGGGAACTGAAGCCTTGATAACTTTCCAGTCTGATGGCTGGGGAACTGTCTCCGTGGTCAGACCCAGAGAGTGACAGTCAATAGACCCAAGTCAACATGGCGCATGGTGACCAGTGGCATCCCTCAGCGTTTCAGTACTTGGACCATTACTCTTTAATATAACGTATTCATGAACAACCTGGATTTGGGTGTCAAGAGTGGACTGGCTAAGTTTTCAGATGACACCAAATTATGAGGAAGCGCAGTCACACTAGAGGATAGACTGGGGATTCAGGCCAATTTGGACTGGCTCGTAAAGTGAGCAGAACAAAACCTGATGACTTTCAACACAGAGACATGCAAGGTGCTCCACCTCAGGAGAAAGAACCCACATCATACCTATAGGCTCGGCAGTGCTACATGAGGCGTGAAAGAGACCTGGGGGTCATGACTGACCACAAGATGAACGTGAGTCACTCATGCAATGTCACAGCCAGTTAAGCAAATAAAACCCTGGCTTGCATCTATCGATGCATCTCAAGCAAGACCCAAAATGTCATCCTCCTGCTTTATTCAGCTTTGGTGAGGCCACAGGTGGAGTACTGCATCCAGTTCTGGGCTCCACACTTTAGGAAAGACATGGAGAAGCTTGAGAGAGTCAAGAGGACAGCCACATGCATGATCAGAAGTCAAGAGAGCAGGCCTTATGAGGAGAGGCGGAAAGGCATACGACTCTTTGGCTTGGAAAAGCATAGGCTCAGGGGGAACTTGGTGGCAGCCTATAAGTATATCAAGGGTGTGCATCAGGATTGGGAAGAATGTCTAATTCACCAAGGTACCCCAAGGGAAGACAAGGTCCAATTGTCACAAACTCCTGCATGACCATTTTAGACTGGACATAAGGAAACCCTTCTTTACTGTCCTTTACAAATTTGGGACCTACCTCAAACCCATGTGCATGGCTACTAGGCCTGCGTGAATAGAGAAGTATTTGATTCTGATATGGATTTGGCCGATTCAGAGGACAGTGATTCAATTTGGAGATCACTGTCCTGCATCAATTCAGCTGAATCAGCTGAGATTTGGAGATTCGGATCTGCTAGGAAGAGGCAGGCACAGCTGGGTGGCCGCATGTTCTCCGGTGGCTCCTCTAGCTGTGCCTGCCTCTCCCCGGGAGGGGGGAGCCGTGGGAGAAACCCCCATGGCTGCCCTGCCTGGCCCCATCCCCAGCACTTAAAAAAAAGCCCTGCACTCATCAGCTGCAGGAGCAGTGATTTGGGTCCTCCGGGTGCTCATGGCAGAGCCAGCCCATGCTGCGTGGGGCAGTGACGATTGTCCCCCCCACCCCTGCCTGGCACCTGCACAGCCCCATGACACGAATGCAGCATGGCTCAGCAGGTCACCACATGCTGCCTAGGAGCTGGGGCTGCTGGGGGGTGAGTGCTGCCGAGCTCCAGCTGACACGTGGAGCCACCCCAGCTCACAGGTGACTCAAACCAGGAGCTGGGGAGTCAAACCAGGGAGCTGGGGAATTAAACCAGGGGCTCTGCCCTATTGCTGCTTGCCAAGCCAGCATGGGGGGGAGGGAGGGCGCAATGCAGGTGCGGCTCGCTCCGGGCGGCAGCAGGGCATAGCCCCCACTCCCAGTGCTGCCGCACCTGCATCCTGCTCCCCCCAGGTAACACGCCCCCCCAGTAACATATGACCCCCATTCCAGCTGGGGAGCTTGTCCCAGCCCCAGCTTCAATCCCTCCCCCATGCCTCTTCTCTCCCCCCACCCCAACAAACTTAGCAGCTGGAGGCAGCTGTGAGCTGCCTGTTTAGTCTATGGCTGAATCTCTGAATCAGCTGAAGTTTTTCTGAATTGATTCAGATGCTTCAAATCAATTCAGAGCTTTTACTTGGTCTCCCGATTTGATTCAGATTCAGAGATCCGGTCCCCGAATCAGGCTGAATCTCCTCTGAATTGAATCAGCTACTGAAGCTTTGCACAGCCCCAGTGGCTCCTGTACCTGTTCAGAAGCCATGTGGACACTTGTGTATATATAATATACATGGAATAGGATCTCTAACTGTGCTTAAGTGCCAAAAATGAATGTTATGCATCTGGGTAAATGCCATTTAGGTACACATAGTGAAATAAGATTCTGGATCTAGCATAAACATTCACTCCTAACATCTCAGGTTCAACTTGTGATTCTTTTTACTAAACCAGAGCACAGAAAAATAACAATTCTTCCCAGTTTAAATTGATTTCTCACCTGTGCTGATGTGCTGTTGAGTTTCTGTAAGCCATTCTCCAATCGTTCCATTTTAGCAGTCAATTCCTTGCCTTTTTTACATAGTAAATTTTGATACAATTTGATTTGTTCAAGGAATGATTTGGGTGTGGTGTAGTTATAGCGACGTTCATTGCTCAAATAAGATCTGGACATCTCATTCACACTTGTATGGACATATGCCATAAACTTGCTTATGGAATCTTTGACTGAAAGCTAAACACAAAAGAGAAGATATTTTAAATGGAGTATACGCATACCACTCAGACTCAGTTTAACGGGATACATACTGATATCTATTTTCCATAAAGAGATTAAAAGAAAGCCGGGCTTGGAGCAATGACTTCATATCTCATTTCTGCTTATGAAGCCAAGACTGAAGGAGGTCATATATGAATGATGAATAGATGAGATCAGGCTGAGTGCACAATTACACTAAGTTCCATCACTCACTCCTTGCTGAAAGAGGGGTTGCTTGGTGAAAGACTGTAAGCTGAAAAGTTGGGCTATGTGAAAACCCTCACCTCAATATTCTGGGTTCCTTGCAGGAAGCGCATGCTGACAGATTCTAATGCCTCTTGAGGCCACTCATGGAACCAGTCTATTGCTGTGCAGCTCACAATGGCCGGGAACTTCCTGCTGCGAATTCTCAGCTTGTTACCAACAGGTGAGAAACAAAGTGCAACCTAAGGAACAAGAGGGACAACAGTGCTAAGAAAGAGAGGACAATAGGTGTGAAGACACAATTGGAGATTTGAGGATTTCTTGCTGGAAGGATGACTTTCTAGGAGAAAAATCAGAATAAAATCAGAAACTGAATCCGTCATAATCTCTGGAGCTTTGGGCCACTAATTCTGAGTCTGCACACACAAATCCCATATAAACAGATAAGTTAAAAACGGGTGGAGACAGAAATGACTATTGTTCCATAGTCGCTATGAATCGCCAGGAGTCAGACCCAGGAGCTGCACTTCTGTCTGTGTCCAGTAAGCATTCTTTTCCCTCTAAAATAAAAACATATACAGCACTGTCTTGGCCAAAAATTGGCCAGAAACAGAACCATGATGGAGGATACTGCATTATTATTGAATTTGCAGTGTTATTCTACAGGTGTGTCTACATATATTTTAGGGCTGTGCGAAATTTTGCCCGGTGTTTCATTTCAATGCTGCTTCGACTCGTTTCAAGCTCAAAACAGCAAAATCAAAATGAAACAAAAGGCTTTGAAACAGCCCTGAAATGAAACGAGGGCACTCAAAACATTTCAAAACGTTTTGAGTTTCAAAGCTGGCTTACTTTTAGGGAAATAGAAACTAAGGAGAGGGAGGGGGAAGAGGGGGGAAGGACTGCTCTGATATTGACATGCATAGCTGACCAGTGACTGTGATCCTTCCCTGAGGTCCCTCCCAATCCCACTGCTCTGGGGGAGGGATGTAAAAACAGCATAAATAAGCCGCATTTAAACTGAGCTCTCTCTGTGCCTTGGGGTCAGTTACTGAGCTGTGTCTTCCAGCAGTTCAGCAGTGTCAGAGAAAAGCTATTACTTCCTACTTGCTATCCTGTTACTAGCAAGTGGGATCCAATAACTTTCACTTTTGTAATACCCTTTTATTATTATATTCATTCCTTTCAATTTATTCCTCCCATAGAATCCTCTTTTTGTTTTTGTTAGTCTGTACAGATTTCTTTTCTTGAAGAAAAGAATCAAAATATTCTCACAGTGTGCATTCCATTCACTGTGCAGCAAAGCGCAGCATATATTGTATGTTATAATATAGAATTTATTGAGGAACACATAGATACATTTATATATTTTATTTATTACATAAATACATACTTACAATTATCTACATATATTACATAAATACAGATTACATTACAGAAGAACATACATATTTTCTAGCACACCAAGGCAAACACACTATGAAGCATGCTGGAAAGGCAGCTGCAAGCCTTCAGGGAGGTGCAGAAGAGCAGGTAGAGGGAAAGCTGTAAGTTTTCCCCCCACCCCCAACTAAGACAGAGCCTCTTTTTTACAACCAGTATGCATGAGGCTTCCAGTTCTACTAGGAGCAAGGGGAGGGGAGCAGTGTCACTGCATGGGTCTGCATCCCCTCTAAGAGCACCAGCCATAACCACCACCACCATGACAACAAGCAACACCAGCAGGACAGTTTCCTCCATGCCCATTTCACTTCCCAGCCTGAGCCTTCCAGTGCCAGAGGAAGAGCTGGAGCTGAATGCCATAGCAAGGGAAATTCTGCGTAGTTGTTGCTTGGCATCTCCTACATATTCTCCATCAGGGCACTTGGTGCTCTGATGGAGATATGTATTGTATTGTGAAGATATATCCATACTGGCCAGATATCTCTCCACTTTTACCTGCTACATCTCTTCCTGCCCCCTCCCCGCCAGCCTGTCTCTCATCACCTGACACCTACACTTCCATTTTCACTGACTGGCTTTCTTGACTGCATTGCATGCCAGCCTCTGGCTTCTTTACTATTCCTTCCATACAGGAAAAGCACACACACCAACTGCAGGTGCTTCCTCAGCCTGAAGGAGGTTTTTTAAACCTGAAAGCCTGCTAAGATATATTTCTCCAACTATTCAGTTGGTCTACTAAAAGATATCAGATTGACCCAAAGAATCTTGTCTGCCAGTGCCATGTCCTTAGACCAACACCCCTAGCACCTGTCCCCAGTCAGCTGACTGGAAGGATGCAGGGCCCTGGGCACATCTAAGCCCCAGGGCTGGGGCTGGCAGGAAGAGTTCCCCGGCAGCTGCTGGAGAAGAAGCTCCTGCAGGAAAGGAAAGAAAGGCTTTGTGACAGTTTGGCTGCCTGAGATGCTAATGGTACTGTGCTGCTTACTTACCTGTTGCTATTTAAAGTGGTGGACCGAGATGAGGTCGTAGGGGAGGCGAAGACTTTATTGGGGTACACTACTGTGTCATGTAAGGGCCCCAGTGCCAGTGAGTGTGGGCCTTAATGTGCACAAAGTCACCCATGTCATCAGTTTTGCTTGTCAGCAGCCTGAGGTGCAGTTTCCCAGAAACCCCTGCATCTATCTCCTTGAAACTTGGCAGGCTTCATGGCCTCAGCAGTGGCTACCATAGCTGCTGTTTTCACCATCCTGCACCTTCACACTTACAAGTAACACGAGTTTTGCTTTGAACAGTTTGAAGTAAAGTTTCCCAGAAACCCCTAAACTTATCTACTTGAAACTTGACTGGCTTTGTGGTCTCAGCAGGGGCTACCCTCCCTGCTGTTTTCATTCAAATCAGACAAGAAATGACACAGTTGTAGGCATTTTCATGATTCCCCATTATAACCTGTGGGTGAAACATCAAAACGTGTTGAAACAGCGAAACAAATTTGACTAAATGAAATGGAACAGTGCTTTGAAATGAAATGAAACAATGAAACGAAACACTGTCCCTTCGAAAAGGTGAAACAGAAGTGGAAACAGAACGGTGCTGTTTTGCACAGCCCTAATGTATTTACATGCACCTAAACTTAAAGCACCTTTGCTTAAGGTATATTAAGGCAATTTAGGCATGTGTGTATATGTGAACACGCTAATTAGCATTAAGGTGCAGTAAATTTAGGCACAAATAGCTAAGACACTTTAGTGCATGTGCAGATGCGCTAATGTGCACTAACACAGTGTCTATCCATTGATGCACACTCCTTAATGCTCATTAGTGTGTCTACATGTGTGCTTTATGCAGGTATCAAATTTAGACTCACATAGCCTTAAATTGCCACTTTTAAGGTGTATTAAGAGCACGCATGTATAGACACACGCCTTTAATGCGCCTTAAAAATGGTGATTCTAGGATAAGCCCACTTAAAAGAGGTATGTGTAGACATGCCATGTACATTTAGGACCTAACTATCACTTGATATAAGGTCCATTTTCATCATTCTGGCAAAATTAAAGGGCCTTGAAATTACTGTAAATAGATACAGGTTTTCAAGTAGCATAAAAGTCACAGTAGTAATGGTCAAATAAGCATGCAGCCACACATGTTTACCACCCATGAAATAGGTGCTATGTGCATTCAGAGGAAGTCAGACAATTCAGTCTTTAATAAAATAATCATCAACTCCTTCTCAAATACTCTTTTTATAAGCTTACATTTAGGCATTATTCAAATTGCAGTCCTTATGCCAGGCAAAGTTCGGGAATGCCATGTGCCTATTAAGGTTCTCACCCTTTGGTGCAAACAAACTATGTTCCAAACTGGAGCTGAGAAGATGGAAGTTGCATCGCCTAGTCTGCTATTAAGCTGCTCATCCACTCCTATATTTCTATCCCCTAGAGCAGTGGTCTCCAAACTTTTTTGGTCGTGCACCCCTATCAGTAAAAAATTTTTGAGCATGCACCCCCCAATATATGTATATTTATTTATAAATTATATACATGCACTACTCGCGTACCATACATGACATGTGACTATCTGACATACGGACTGAGTGAGGGCACCAGTGACAATCCATTTATTAAATATTAGTAAAGCTTAATTTCTTTCTTATTTTTTTAGATAAAAATAAATATAAATAGAAGTTCTAATATTTTCTTCCCGCACCCCAATGGATCATCTTGTGCATCCCATTTTGGAGACCATTGCCCTACAGTTCAAACCTAATGCATTCTGATGTAAGAGGAATATTTGTTGGCTGCCTCTTACTTTATTGCATAAAGCACAGGTTTTATGCAGTTTAAGAATTTCTCAAATAGCATGCATTACTAGTCTGCAGGAAGAATAAAGTGCAATAAGAGTTAAGCTTCTGCAATAAGTTTAGAGTATCACACATCCTACAGATTGCAGCTCCTGAATATATATGCCTTGCAATCCAAAGATTCGACTACAATTCTGTAGACATTTCCAAATAGCTGTGGCCTTGCTAGCTCAGATACAGATAAGAGTCTTGCTGCTGGAGCACGAGGGATGAAAAAAACCCACCTGAACAAGTGCTTGGATGACGAGTGCAAGTTTAGCTCCATAACACTGTGGGTATTAATATCCACACTAGATACTTTAAAGCAAGCTCCATAGCTGAATCCCAATGCCCCAACATAACAATGGGAATATCAGTGCTGTTTTAAAACAGGTTCATGGGGAAATAACCACTTTGGGAGGATCAGAAGTTGTTTTTAAATAAATGAGAACGAGTAGAAAAAATCTTTACTGAAATGTTATTAAAATAACCTTTTGTCTTTTTTCTAGTTCAAGTACTTAAGCACTGTTTGCTAAATAAGTGACAATACACTGATTCATATATTTTGCAGTATGGCATTAGATAATTAGTCAGACCTGTATAATACAAGCCAAACAATTCTACCCAGTTACTGTTGTAACTGAGCTCAGTGACAAGGATGTGAATGCTGAGTATCACATTACCTTTAGTTGTCGTCGAACCCGATTTATGAAGAATTTCCAACATGTTTCTTTGGTGTCCATTAGTCCCTGGTTCTTGACTTCATTTCTCACACTGCTGATGATGTTTTCAACTTCATCATCAGGGAAGAGATCAGGAATTTCACCTAGTAATAAGGGGAATGGATTGTTTTAGCAAACTTATAAGCATAATGAAATATTTTCTTCATTTATTTGTGTATGGAGCAGAGCCTTTTTATAGAAAAAGTCTCTGGGTTGCACTACACAGATGCGAGTGAATATGCTTGATCAGGTAGGTGAAGTTATTTCTGCAGCTCTCTAAAAATGTTGTTATCTCCAGCTGTATTCAAATAAGTGGCAGATCACAATGTTTAAAAAGCTAATGGCACATGCAGTTAATGGCTAATAACATATCTATTCAAATAGAATTTTAGTGACCATTTACAGCTTCCTAATTTGCTTTGTTCTGACCTCTGCCTGAACTAAATGATTGCTGAAATCTGATCTTTATTTGATATTAACAGCTTAGGAAAATAACAGTAGCTGATCAGAAACCAGCTTATTAAGAAGAAATTCAGAAAACAAGTAATTTTATTCCTATGCATTCAATGCTGAAAATAAATGTAAAAAAAAAAAATGGAAAAAGAAAATATATATAAAACAAGCAGCAGGAGCCAGTACTTCTACTTATCTAATGAACCATCTCCTTGCACCATAGAGGAGAAAGTGTGTAGGAAATCTGCCTCTGTGGTTAGACCACCTCCAGCCAGCTTGCCCCTACCTTCCACTAATCTACAGAAAAAAGTAAGAAAGTGCACATCTAACTAGCAGAGAGACTGACCAGGAAAGCCCTAGCCTTTCTTCCTCCTTTTATGGATGCTCCAGTGCTAGCTGCAGTTTCCACCTCTTCCTTCATTAGCTCCCCAACATGAAGCAATAAAGGGTTGAAAGGGGGAATGGTAAAGGAAAAAAGAAGCCTCTTTCCATTTCCCACTACAACCATCATACAAGGCAGATAGGGAGACAAACCAGATTGCCTGAGCTGGGGCAGATCCAGGAAGGGGGGAGGAGGGGAAGGGAGAGTGCATTGATGTACTTGCACCCTTCTTTGCTTCCTGTTCCACAAAAACTTGAAAACCAACTGCCCAGGAGGCACAGGGGCATTTCTAGTCGGGCCATGCTGACAGAATCAATATATGTCATGGCTCCTTGTCATTTCCCTGATTCCTGTTAATATTTCTCTACTTCACAGGTGGTAATGGCCCTCTACCACAGGGCGTGGCATGCAAAGGTATCAATAATAATTCCATATAAAGAGTCATAGGACTCAAAGGCCCTGTCTACAGCTCCACCCACATCCACAGTGATCAACTGCTATTGATTTGTTATCAGAAATATCATAATGAACCTCAGACCAGATCCACAAAAGCAAATAAGCAGTACTCTAGTGACTGAAAACAGGAAGTTTATGAGAAGCTACTTAGACCTTCTCCCTACTAGTAGATGCTTACAATGCATTAAATGGTACATATGATTTCCATGCTATCCCTCCAGGAGGGAGTGCACCTGAGAGAACTACAAGGAGATCACAAATTACTTAGTAATTTAAATCCTTTTTTTCTGCCCATGAATCACATCTCAACAAGCTCTGGCCTCAGGATTCATCTTCTATTTTGCAAAGTATTCAGACAATTCATCAACCCAGTGCAGCCTGTGGATTGGTCATAAACTCTTTGTTTCTGCTATGTCATTAATCATTCATCACCACTGCACATGATGAAGTACTGTGTCACATATGCCACATGGTATTGTTTCTGTTATCTACTAAGCTAACTTTACAACACTGTACAGAGGTGCTCAGCCTTTTGGGGGCTGAAACAGCTGCAAGTAGTCAGCAGTTAAAAAAGTCTGCCTAGCTGGAAGGCTGGGAGCCATCTCCAATTCATGACTAGTAAATGAGGGTACAGCCACAGACAGAGTTAAGAGCTCCAGGAGAAGAATGCAGAGGGACAGGATAGGTGACAGGCTGTGGTGCTGGGGAGAAGTTCAGAGCCAGAGACCTGAAGCAAGGCAGCAAGTCTGATTTGTTTGCTTACACACACAATGTCAGATGTTCTGCACATAAAAATATCTAAATTCACATGCAAATAGTGTAATCGGCATGAAAAGAGGGACCTTCACAAATAGAACAGCTATTTTCCAATCATTTGAAACCCCTTCCCCCTCCCCTCCCCCAAAAGACAAAAAGCCCTGAGCCATACAAATAGGATTGGAAAAAAATATAGGAAAGAAACAAGATTGGGATGAGTCTGATATTCAGACAGATGATCTATTCATTATAATACATTGTTTACCCAGCTCTGGGAAACAGTGAAACTGAATTCACAAACTAAGTGAAGCTTTGTTACATCATGGACTTTATTCTTATTGCAAGGACATAATTCCTTCATGGAAACATCTCCTTTTGGTGTGGGCAGATGTAACATTTGAAGTGCTTCAAATGCTTCTGAAGCTCTTCACAAGGCAAGACGTACAGATATTTACACCCTTTGAAACACTCCAGAAAGGAACCCACAAGGGCAACTGGTAGTATTTAGAATAGGGGTGGGAAATTATTTCAGGTAGAGGGGCATGTTACAAGTTTTGGTGAGCTGTCGAGGGCTACACGCAAAATATTTTAGGAAATATAATTTCAAATTATAGATAAAAACAAATGTAAACTAAAAACCATCCATTATAGCATATTTTAATTTTATTTAAAAAAAAATTGTTGTCCTGATTTATATTCTTTTGAGTAGTATATTTAGAGGCAATTGCATAATAGTTCAAAATAAAGCCTTACTCTTACATATCATGTGGGGAGAGTGTGGGGGAGTGTGTGTGGGAAGGGTGGGGTGAGAGGTATATGAGGGGATGGGTGCATGGAGGTGGGTGTGTGGGGGTGTTTGTGTGTGGGGGTGTATGTAGGGGGGATGCAACACAGCTCACCTGGGTGGTGCACGTGCAGGTGAAGTCCCCTCCTGAAAAAAACAGCCCACTGCTGTAACCACAGTGCTCCACATTTGGCTGACTCCTGTCTGCTCCCACCGAGAGCAGTCCTTGCTGCATTTCTGCCCATACTCAGTTCCAGCCAGCATGCACAGCTTCCTGGCAGCGCTGCTTCAGGTGCAGCTGAAGCCACTCAGGTACTGCTTGGCTCCTCCCACCTCCAGCAGCATCTCCTCCTCTTCCTGCACCACTTTGGGCAGCAGGTAGTGCTGGGAAGTGACGGTGGCTTTGGGGCACCACATGCCCAGCCAGGCGAGGTGGGGAAGATGCAGCCAGGAGACTCCTGCACCAGCATGCAGAGCTTCAGCTCCTGGCCACCTTCCTTCCACTTGGCCATTCCCACGTGGCTGCTCATCATGCTGGGCAGACAGAGTGGGTGGAAGACAGCCAGAAGCTGTGGCCCCACGCGCTGGGGCAGGAGTTGCCTGGCTGAAGCTTCTCCACCACCTGTCCAGGCATGTAGTGCTCAAGGCGTGTCCCCACAGCTGCCGCCCTTCCCCATGCTACCTGCTGTCTGGACCAGCACAGCAGGGGCAGGAGGACAAGGAGGAGGAGCTGCTGGAGGTTGGGGGAGCTGAACAGTACCCAGGTAGCTGCAGCCACACCAGAAGCAGCTCCACTGGGAAGCTGTGCATGCTAGCCAGAACCAGGCATGGGAGGGAACCCAGTGGTGTGGGCTGCCCAGGTGGGAATGGGCAGGGCTCAGCTTCATGGGGAACCTGTGAGCCAAACGTAATCAGTTGGTGGGCATATACCTGTGAGGTGGATCCAATTAATTGGTGGGCCAAATCTGGCCAGTGGGCCATATTTAGAAAATAAAGCACTTCCTCTTATGTCTGCATGCTCCGTGAAGTGTGACAGGGCACCCTGGACCCTCCAGAATCCCAGAGTAGTTCACTTTCCTCTCACCCCTCCCCCTACGATGAGTTGGGCACTGTATCAGTGAGCACTCTTCTGTCTAGTCTTCCTCCACTGCCCCACTGCTCTCCTGTCTAGTCGACCTCCACTGTCTCCACCAGAGCCAAAAGACCAGAGGCCCTGTGACCCCCCTGCCTCCTCAACCTGAATCCCTAGCTACTTGTCCAAGTCTTATCTGTGGGTTCCAGCAGGAGATGCTTTGGGATAGTGGAGGCAGAGCAGATAGGAGAGCATTCCCTGAAATTTGAAACACTTCAAATATAATGTCTATCTCCATCCTTTGGCTCAATCTGCTGACATATTCATAGATTCATAGATTAAGGGTCGGAAGGGACCTAGTAGATCTTCTAGCCCGACCCCCCGCCAGGGCGGGAGAACAACAAAAAACCCCAAAAGAGAAACGGGACTCAAATGAGTCCAGCCAGGTAGGCATCCAGCCTCTTCTTAAAGACCCCCAGGGTAGGGGCCAGCACCACTTCCCTTGGAAGTTGGTTCCAGCTCCTAGCCGCCCTAACTGTGAAGTAGTTTTTGCGGATGTCCAATCTATACCTCCTCTCCATCAACTTGTGCCCATTACTCCTTGTTATGCCAGCAGGCGCTAGGGGAAACAGCGTCTCCCCCAAACCCTTCTGGTCCCCCCTAGTGAGTCTATAGACAGTCACCAGGTCCCCCCTCAGCCTTCTCTTGTGGAGGCTGAATAGGTTCAGGTCCCGCAGTCTCTCACTGTAGGGTCTGCCCTGTTGTCCCCTGATCATGCGGGTAATGCCACAGTGCTGTAATTTAAGAGATAGAAGCAAAATTAAAAAATGCCATGCACATTTAGAGAAAATTAATTGACTGGGTATTATACTTTTGAGACAACAAAAATCTGTTAGATCAGTAGGGACCAATCTTTTGGGCAGTCATGCCACAAATTAGCTGCACACCTTCCTCAAGTGCCACTGATCCCCTTTATCTGTCCGATCTACTGCTGTGCTTTTTGCTTCCTGCCCTATGTTCCCTGTCACATCTGCCGCTCTGCTTTATATGCTCCCCACTCTACCTGCTATTGTGCTGTGTGTCCCTTCCCTGCTCAGCTGAATGCCATGTATAGAGACTGCTTGTGACACACATGCCACAGGTTGGTCACCTCTGTATTAGATGATGGAGCCTGTGCCTGGTAAACAGATATCAGAACTACTTCTATTCTCATGGTTTAGCTGACATAACTATTTATTTCTTTGATTTATATGCCACTGTTCCCAAAAAAGGCTCAGGGCAGCATCCAATAAAAACAAAATAAATAATAAAAATAGATTAATATTAAAATGAAATAGCAAATGACAAACAATTCCCCAAAAGATACCCCAAGCAAAACCTCAATACCTAAACCCACCTGCTCAAAAGATGTCCAAATATTTTTTGTACCTTATTTTATTCCTTTTAACAAATGTTAGAATTCCTTGTAAAGGCTACAGACTTTACAGTGTACACATTTACATGGGAAAGGAAGTCAGAAATAGTCAATGAGGCACACACCTGAAGCTAACAAGTCATTCACCAGCACTAAGAACCTTTCATCAGCCACTTGTGCATCAGTCATAAGAAATACAGTGCCAATATTCTTCACTCCGGCTCTAAGGTACTGGCTTGCCAAGTCTGCCTGTAGATCGAAATTAAAGACAGATTAAGCAGTTTGTTGTTATTTGCTTCAATGTCTTAATTAAATATTGTTTTCTCAATTGGAACATTTCAAGAGGGAGGTTAGTCCCTGAAAAATCTTTCCATTAAATAAATAATAATAATTAAAAAAAATTAATAACAATAAATCATCATGAAGTTTGTTCCTGGCATCATTTCCACCTTCATAGCTGGACCTCTCTAAGGGCACTGTTGAAAAAGCATTGCTGTTGTAGTAAACCTTGACAATGTGCTCAGTGCTGTGCAAAAGGCAGACCCTTCCCCAAGGAGCTGAGACACAAAGTATGTCATCATGTTCTGAATTATTTTATTCACAAAATGGTCTATTTAAAGTCTTTTTTGAATATTGTTGAAGATGAAGCACTGATGCTTTCTCAGCTGAAATAGATGCTAAAATTCCAGATTAGCCTGAAGTGTACATAGTTCTAGACTGTGGAGACTCTTTTCACAGTGAAATTCAAACAGCGGCTGCTGCTAAAGTAAGTAAAGTTTGGGTTTTAGGCAAATTATGGAACATGGTGGGCCATATATGTGGTGGGAATAAAGTGAGTGGTACTAGAAAGATGATTTCAGTATACGGACAGCCCATTCCTTTCCATCCTTATTCCATAGTTCTTCCTTGTTTCTCCAATAAATGCATACCAATAAAACAAATACTTTCTTAGGTAAGGGCACTGAGCTTGGCATGGTTCCAGCAGACCACACCTTGGTAGCTTCAGTTAAAGAATAGCCTGCAGAGGAGTGAAACTATATAAATATTATAAAAGATGTTCTTCACTATCTAATTTCTTTTTCTATGCTGTGAACAATTAATAATATTTCTTCCCAGTCAGGCTTGTTAACTTGTACTGTCTTCCTTCCTTCATCCCTTTCTAGTAGTAACAGTGCATATCCAAACAGATTCTATAGCACATATCAGATGCCTCTCTCTCTCTCCAAGATAGCCTGATTTCTATCAGAGTCACGTGATCTCCTCTATTGAAATATATTTGGCACTGCAGAGGGACAGGTTTGCAATGAAATTACAGCAAAATGGGAACTGCAACAAAAAACAGTTGCTTCCAAAAGATAAAACAGGACTGGAGCTTCTGAACAGACTCTGCTTAGATGGCCCTAGAAAGATATGCAGTTTGCTCATATTTGCAAAGCTTAAGCTTCCTGAACCAAATGCTCCCTCTGTTATTTGGGACATATTTTTATTGTTTTACTCATTTTTTATTGCATGTTTCACTGATAATGGAAAGCAAATTATGCAGTTCAACTGACAAAGGCTTGAGTTTAAGGATACAAATCAATGCAATAGCTCTGAATATCAGAAAGGGTTTTGTGAGCAGCACAGTGATGTATCCTGAGGGGCCACAGTTCTGTTATACTAGGCTCTGCAGAAACAGAGATGCTGTGAATATTTCTCCTACAAAGTCTTGAAACCTTTAGGTTATTTTTAATGCTTATCTAGTAGCAGGTGTGTTGAGACTTTTTCTTCAACACCTGTAGTTTTGTACCTCATACCATGTCATTTATGACTATGCAGCACTAGGAAAAATATCAAACAAAGTAGAACATGTCATGAGGTCACACAGATTTACAAGAATAAACAAGGAACATGGCCCTCTACTTAATAACTAAGAAACTGCTTACATATAATTTTTACCTGTTTTTCAGCTAACTCAGAGATTCCAGTGCAAACCTCTGGGCTCTGAGTGGTACTAGGGATGCTGCAACTGAAAGGACTAGAGTGGTTTCCCTTTGATCATCTATGTGGCAGTTTTTAGTAATCTAAGTGACATTATTGGCACTTATGCCAAGGTAACGATTCTGTTTCCTGGCAATGAGGGCACTTAACTGTGTGTGCATAATGAACATGTGCAATACGCTATACATGGAATTGGTGCATACAAAACTATGTATATACATACCCTATGGATGCATATTGGCACTCTGGGCCCCATAAACAGAGTTAACCCAAAACCCACAATTAGTGAGTATTAGATGCAGAAGAAGAGGAGGATCAGGGAAAGCAAAAGGAGGATTAGGGAAAGTGTGGGTCCCTTACTGAATAGGGGAGGTAACCTTGTGACAGAGGATGCAGAAAAGGCTGAAGTGCTCAATGCCTTCTTTGCCTCAGACTTTACAGGCAACATCAGCTCCCAGACTACTGCAACTGGCAGTACAGTTTGGGGAGGAAGGGAGCAGCCCTCAGTAGTGAAAGAACAGGTTAGGGACAACTTAGAAAATCTGGACGTATGCAAGTCCATGGGACTGGATCGAATGCGCCTGAGGGTGCTGGCTGATGTGATTGCAGAGCCATCGGCCAGTCTCTTAGAAAACTCATGGTGATCAGGAGAGGTCCCAGATGACTGTAAAAGGGCAAACACAGTGACCATATTTTAAAAATGGGAAAAGGACGATCCAGGATATTACAGACCAGTCTGTCTGACCTCAGTCCATGGAAAAATTATGGAGCAGATTCTCAAGGAATCCATTTCTAAGCACTTGGAGGAGAAAAATTTGATTAGGAACAGTCAGCATGAATTCACCAGGGGCAAGGCATGCATGACCAACCTGATTGTCTTCTATGATGAGGTGACTAGCTCTGTGGATGGACAGCAACCAGTGGACGTGGTGTACCTTGAGTTTAGCAAGGCTTTTGATACCATCTCCTACAACATTCTCGCAGGCAAGTTAAGGAAGTATAGGCTAGACGAATGGACTGTAAGGTAGATAGAAAACTGGCTGACACTGGTCTCAGAGAGTAGTAATCAATGTCTACTTGGTAGCCAGCATCAAGTGGAGTGCCCCACAATTTGGTCCTGGGGCTGGTTTTGTTCAATGTCTTTATCAATGACCTAGAAGATGGCATAGAGTGCACCCTCAGCAAGTCTGCAGATGATACCAAGCTGGGTGGTGTAATAAATAAGCTGGAGGGTAGGGCTAAGATTTAGAGTCACCTAGACAAATTGGAGGATTGGAGCAAAAGGAACTCATGAGGTTCAAAGACAAGTGCAAAGTCCTGCATATAGGATGGAACAATCCCATGCACCAGGACAGGCTGGGGAAATAGCTCTGCTGAAGAGGACCTGGGGGTTAGTGGAGAATAAGCTGAATAGGATC